TCCTACTGCCTTAGTCTCCCAGAGTAACTGGGATTACAGGTGTATGCCACAACACCTGGCTATAGTGGTATTATTTATAATAGCTCAAAGTTAAAAATAATTCAAATATCCATCAGCAAATAGATATATTCCATGTGACAAAATATTTGGCCAAAAACAAACAAACAAAAAACCCCAAAAGTAAGCATTGATAAAGCTACAACTATATGATAAAACTCTTGAAAATATGCTAAATTAAAGATGCCAGGCACAGAAACCACATATTCCATTTATGAAATGTCCAGAATAAGAAAATCCAGATATATACAACAGATTCACAAGACAGAAGGACTAGTCTCCCCATCCCTGCAAAAAAAAAAAAAAAAGTTTTAAGGTCAGCCTCAGCAACTTAGCAAGGTCCTAAGCAACTTAGTGAAACAAACAAACATACAAAAAAGTAGATGTAAAGTTGCCAAGCACTGGGAAGAAGAGGGAGGGAGGAGTTTCATTTGGGGATAATGAAAATATTTGAAATCGGATGGTAATAATGGTTATACGCTCTGAATGTACTAAAAAACCACTGAACACTTTATTTATTTTTAAATTTTTTTTTCAGTTACAGATGGACACAATACCTTTATTTAATTAATTTATTTATATATGGTGCTGAGGATCGAATCCAGGACCTCACATGTGCTAGGCAAGCACTCTACCACTGAGCTACAACCCCGGCCCTGAACTGTACCCTTTAAAAAGGGTGAAATTATATCAAGAAAGCTATTATATTTTTAAAAGGCAACACACACACACACACACACACACACACACACACACACACACAATGAAGCATCAAATGATCTCTTCCTCATTCAACATTTGCCTTGAAAGGCAATGGCCATTTTCCAGAAGGAAGCACTATTAACAGTTTGGTATATATCCTTCTAATTATTTTCTATGCTTATATAAACAAACATTTTGAAAATACATACCACATGCTGGTGTCATGGTATGTACCTACAGTCCCAACACTGGGGAGGTTGAGGTAAGAGGATTACTTAAACCCTGGAGGATAAGCAAACATTGTGGGCAGTGTAGTGCGGCTTCATTTCAAAAACAAAACAAAAACAAAAACAAAACCCCAAAACAACCAAATGAAACTAAAAATATAAAAAATATATAAAAATGCATATTGTTTTGGCAATTGGCTTTTGAAATTTAGAAAATATTGTGAACATTTTTCCATGTTAGTACATAAAAGTCTACTTGATTTTTTTAAATACTTGCATAGCATCTCATTATATATCTATATCTCAAATTTAACCAGTCTCTTACTAATAAGCATTTAGATTATTTCCAGTTCTTAAATATAAACAGCATTGTTGTGATATCACAGACCACATCTGCCATGTTTTAGAATGCCTAAAACCTTCTAATCATCTTTTCTCTGCTTGGTTAGGAAATCTATTCCCTAATAGAAGAGCAGAAAATTGCTTTTCCAGCCTTCCTTACAGTCTGGTGCATATATGTGAACTATACTTCACCAAATAAATAAAGGTACCACAAGACTCCAACTGGCAGTAAGCAAGGTAAGGAAACATATGGTTAACAGATCGCACATTCTAGTGAAGGAAGTAGTAGAGATACACCTTATGAGAGCAGCCCTATGGAAAGTTGAGGGTTCCTCCTGGCTGCCTAGCCAACACTACAGCCTGAATTTTTGGCTCTCTTGGAGAATCTGCAAGTTACTTAATGTTCTTTATAGATTCCCTTCTATGTACACATGCTCCAGTGGGTTCAACTGCTTGAAATTAAGAATTCCCCTTGGGGTTAGGGGTGTCAGTCAGTGGTAGAGAATTTGCCTTGCATGCACAAGACCTGCATTAGATCAATTCCCAGCATTGAAATAATAATAATAATAATAATAATAATAATAATAATAATAATAATAATATAAAGCTGCATGTGGGGAAAAAAGAACTCTCCCTGAAACAAAAATAAATACATGCATCTTTATTCACTTGCAGAAATAAAACTACATGATAAAACTCTTGCAATCACATGGCCAAATTTATCTCCCTAGAGATTTTATATTCCTATCATTAGTATACTTGAAACACTGTACTAAATCACCCTAAGGCTAAATGGCTTAAAATTATGACCATTTAGCCAATGGTGGTGGCACATGCCTGTTCCAGCTACTTGAGAGGCTGAGGCATGAGGATCACAAATTCAAGGCCAGCCTTGAGACCTTGTCTCAAAAAAAAAAAAAAAAAAAAAATCAGCAAAAAACAAAACGTAAAACCCTGATAAAAAGTATTACCATTTATTATTTCCTATGATTCATTGTGCAGAATAGAATCAGAAGGACTAGGCAGTTGGTTTTTGCTTGGGGCAGTTCAGCTGTGGCTGATTGTTTAAGATAGTCTTACACAAAGGTAGAAATGCGGCCTTAGTCCAGATGACAGGGCTGGGATGGCAGGGGCCCACTCTCCCTGTGGCCTCTTGATCCTCTAGCAGCCTAGTTTAGGCTCCTGGAGCCTAAGCTCCTAGTTTAGTCTCAGCTCCCAGAAGCAAGGGAAGAAAAATCTCAATATGTAAACACTTCTCATGCTTCTGTTTGTTTCATGCAATGTTAATGTCCTATTGGTCAAAGCAGTTTCATAGTCAAATCCAAATTTGCAGGGTAAAAAATACTAGATTCAACTCTTTGGTTCTTTTTTTTTTCTCTTTTTACATTTAATATATTTTTTAATAACATACTTCTTAAAAATTTATTTATTTATTTATTTTAATTAGGTAGATATGACAGCAGAATGCACTTTGATTCATTGTACACAATTGCAGCACAACTTCTCATTTATTTGGTTGTACACGATGTAGTGTCATACCATACCTGCATTCACACATGTACCTAGGGTAATGATGTCCATCTCATTCCACCATCTTTCCTGACCCCATGTCCCCTCCTTTCCCCTTTGCCCAATCATAGTTCCTCCATTAAGTCTTTGGTTCTTGTTGAGAGGGGCTGCTTTTGCTGTAGCATATTTTTCATCTACCAAAGTTGGCCATTTAAGGATGTAAGAATAGTCTTCTTTCTTTTTATTAGATTTATGGACATAATACTGGCTAATTAAATACACACACACACACACACACACACACACACACACACACACACACACACACACTTCTTGTATTGGATGCTGGGGATTGAACCTGAAGCCAACCCTGTGTTCTTCCACTGAGCTATACCTTCCAGCTCTTTAAATTTTTTAATGGAATGAATTTAAGTTTATTTAGTATCCTTCTTCTTTTTTTTTTTTTTTTTTGGAGGGAGGTACCAGGGATTGAACCCAGGGGACTTGACCACTGAGCCACATCATCCCCAGCCCTACTTTGTATTTTATTTAGAGACAGGGTCTCATTGAATTGCTTAGTGCCTCACTTTTGCTGAGGCTGGCTTTGAACTAGCAATCCTCCTGCCTCAGTCTCCCAAACTGCTGGGATTACAGGTGTGCCTCATCCATCTATTTAGTAACTTTCTATTCTTCTTCTTCTCCTCCTTCTGCTCTTCCTCCTCTTCCTTTCTTCCCCCTCCGGCCCCCTACTCCTTCTTTTCTTGTACTGGGAAATAAACCCAGTGGCACTCTACCACTGAGCTATATCTCCCCAGCCATTTTAATTTTTTTATTTTGAGATATAACCAAAATTTCCAGACTGGCCTCAAACTTTCAATCCTGCCTAGCCTCCTGAGTAGCCAGATTGCAGATGTGTGCCACTGCACCTGGCTATAACTTTCTATTCTTGATTACAGTATCCATAACTGTTTTATTCTATCCACATACACCATGAGCTAATCATTAGTTTTTCTTTTTTTTTTAGAGAGAGTGAGAGAGGAGAGAGAGAGAATTTTTTTTTAATATTTATTTTTTAGTTCTCGGCGGACACAACGTCTTTGTTGGTATGTGGTGCTGAGGATCAAACCCGGGCCGCGCGCTACCGCTTGAGCCACATCCCCAGCCCTTAATCATTAGTTTTTCAACAGAGTATTAGTAAATCTACTATAGTAAATTATTTTCTGGAAGGAATTCAGATTAGTAATTTTGAAATTTCTCATTAATATCTAAAAACTGAGCAAATCAGTATCTTTGAATTTATTGACTTAAATATTTCTGATCTCCCAGTCTGAAAAAATGAGGAAATGAGTATACTCATATTTCCTATTACTTACCTCTGATTTTATATTATATAACCATAATCACCTCATGTTAGTCTCATTTCTATGTTTAGACAGATTATATTATACGCTCATCCTCGGTTATTTTATTTTTTTTTCATTTGTTTACAGTGCTGGGTTTTAAACCCATGGCTTTGCACATGCTAGGCAATGGCTTTGTTCTTGAGCTACACCTCCAGCCCCTTTGTGACCTTTAATATCTTAAACTATCTTTGAGGACACTTAGTATACACATATTGGAGTACCCATTTTTTTAAAAATTTTTTTTAGTTGTAGATGAACACAATAACTTTATTTTATGTATTTATTTTTATGTGGTGCTGAGGATTGAACCAGTGCCTCACACTTGCTAGGCAAGTGCTCTACCACTGAGCACAACCTCAGCCTGGAGTACCCATTCTTTTACTTTTTCTTTTCAGAGCTGGAGATTAAACCCAGAGCTTCACATGCATAATGGGTAAATAAGTGCTCTACGACTGAGCCACATCTCCATCCCTCAATAGATATTTCATGAGCACTATATACTAAGTATTAAATGGAAATGGTTCTTGTCCTCACAAAGGCTAAGACTGTACCCAATATTGACTCTCCTTTCCCTTGGGCTTTTTGGGTCCTAGCACTAATCAAAGAATGACCGAGCACTTATTACATACAAGGCACACTGATGTGTTCCAAAAGTCAAACATACATAAATATTTGTCTTATGGTGGGTAAGGAAAATGTCGATTTCCGTACATTTACTCACACCACATTCCATGGGCTGAAGGTGGTACTAAATATCTACCTGTGCTCCATGTAGCAGCTCAGGGGCTCCATGCAAACCGTGATGGCACCAATGGTGAAGAAGGACTTGACATTTGAGTCTGGGTGGGTCTGCAGGGCCTGGATGACATCAATTATATCCGTGTAGCTGAGGGGGAAAAAAGGATTACTGGTTGGAGCTACAGAGATGGGTAAGAGGCATGCTGAGTGGCTGAGTCAGCATGGACAGAAGGAAGACCAATAGGAGGAGCCTATAATTGGGTTCCTTGGTGTATGTTATTCAACTTCGTAATTCAGAATCCCAGGAATCCCCAAAGTGCTTCTACATTCCCAAGTTCTGTTAGTCCTCCTAACTGTGAAAGAATGGGTAGAAGAGCCAACCTGTTCATGGGGTAAAGGAAGCCTGCGGTGATTACAGGGCTCCCCTACTTGATGTCCCTAGGCCTGTTTTTTCCCAGATCCCTTATTTTATGCTGGGGATTGAACCCAAGACTGCTACATTCCAAGCCCTTTTTACTTTTTATTTTGAGACAGGGTCATGCTAAGTTGTTGTTGGTTTCACTAAGTTGCTGAGGCTGGCCTCAAACTTGAGATCCTCCTACCTCAGCCTCTTGAGTCACTGGGATTAGAGGCCAGCTTTGGGGCATGTTTTCTAATCAAGTTAGGAACTCCTGCTGATGTCTATTTTCTTTAGTTGCTCTTTTCCCCTCCTTCCCACTTCAAAGGATCATCAGAGGGGCTAGGGTTGTGGCTCAGTGGTAGAGCACTTGCCTAGCATGTGTGAGGCAGTGGGTTTGATTCTCAACAGCAACATAAATAAATGAATAAAAGAAAGGTCCATAAATATCTAAAAAAATATATTAAAAAAAGATCATCAGAACTGTTCAGAGCAGTAGATGTGTCAAATACTGACTGCATTCTTGTCTTCTGCTTGGAATTTCCTCCAAAACCCAGATTTAGAGCCAATTTGAATATCTTCACTTTGAACCTAATAGTTCATAATCTGACTCCTCCAAGTCTGCTCCTCCAAAGGCTGTGTCTTCCTTATCAGAGGGGACTCTATACTCTTTCAGAAGCTAGGCTAAAAGATGTATTTGGAGTCTTCATTGACTCCATTTTTTCTCAGTTTTCAACATGCAACTAGAAGAGATTATTGCTCACATACCTGCAGTACCAGTGAGTCCAAACTGCTACAATCTCCTGCCTAGATCATGCCAACACCCTCCCAGCTGGTCCCCTACTTCTGTCCTTTCCTCCTTCCAATTTGTTCTCAGCACTGAAGCTAGAGGGATATACTAACCCCACAGTCAGATAATGGCATCACTGTTCAAAACCCAGTCTAAAAGCCAAAGCCCTTAACAATAAGTCAGGTAGCCCTTCATGATCTAATCCCCCACAATACAGGGAAGAATTTCCTCTACCATCCTGTCCCTTCCCCTAATCCCACCACTCTGGCCTCCTGGCTCTTCCCTGAACATGCCAGGCATACTTCTACCTTAGTATTCTCCTTTCCCCTCTACTTGGAATGCTCTTTTCTTCTGATATCTGACAGTTCGATCCCTTTCTCCCTTCAAGTCTCTGCTCAAGTGGCATTTTTTTTGTTGTTGTTTTCATTTTTGCAGTGCTTGGGATTGAACCTGGGGCCTTGTGCATGCTAGGTAAGTGCTTTAACACACAAATGGCATCTTATGAGAGGCATCCTCTGACTTCATACACTGTGTTCAATACAGCAATACTCCCTTTTGGAACTCCATGCTCTTTTCCCCCAGTTTTTCCCCCCTAAAAGCACTGATCATTAGTTATATAAGCTCTTTTTATTATTTTTGTTGGGTTTTTCTTTTATTGTATCTTTTTCTTACATGTTTTCTTTTCTCATTTGTTTACTGATGGTCTGCAATGAAAATGTAGTTTTGTGTGCTATACTCCCTAGTGCCTAAAGTAGAGTAGATGAACAGGGTAGGGACATTTGGCACCCCACCCTGCCCCACTGTAGACCCTTGGCCACACAGAGGGGACCTGCCCTCTTCACATGGTGGACAACACTCATACTGTCCCAACTGACCTAGACTATCACCAAAAGGTCTGTTTTTGTGGAGGGAAGTTAAACCTGACACACAGCCTTGTGTATTAGATCAGCCTGGGTCTCTCTGTGCCCTTAGGAAGTCAGTGGCAGGTGGGGGAAGGTAAAGCCTGCCTGAACCATTTCCTAAGTTTCTACAAACAACTCATCTGCAAAAAAGCCCTTGGCTTCATTCCATACTACAACATCTCCTACCTCCTACCCAGGTCTGGCCTCAGTCCTGTCCAGTCAGAAGAACTTCATTAGAGGACAAGGGGTGCTAAGTTCAGGAGTTTCCGTATGAGGAGTTGAGGATTTTGCTCAGTGGTAGAGCACTTGCCTAGCATACACAAGGCCCTCAGTTCGGTTGGGTCCTTGGCCTTGGATTTCCCCTATAAGGCTCTGTGGGGAGCCACTCTGAATAGATTCACGCCCTCCATCCTGGAGCAGAGAGGCTTTGACCTTCACCACACCTTGTAGTGACCTGCACATTGCCCTGTCCCGAAATTTGAGGGCACGTCTTCAGAAGTAGGCGTGTTGCCCCATGGACCCTTGGGCGTGTTGCCCCATGGCCCCACCTATCCTTTGTAACCCTGCCCCCCTTCTGACCTTTTTTGGATGGAATTTTCTAAGAATAAAGGTCCCCCCAGTAAAAGCCCACTTCCAAAAGTACTCCATCTTTCTTGCCAGCCTTTCATGACTTTCTCTTGGTCTACTATTTGGGGAGCTGAGAGCGGAGAAGCCGTCCTGAAGTTTGTTTATAGGTTAAGTGTGTGTCTGTGTTTTATTTATTTGGTGTCTCTGGAAATTCACACAAAAGACCTTAAGTTTAGCTGCCCATGCGCGTGCTTTGAGAGCAAGCCCTCTGCTTGATGGCTTTTCTCCCTGTCTGGACATGTGTGTATGGATGGTCACATGGGGATCTTTCCACTGTAGTGCCTGGGTAGGCCTGGATACCAGGAGAGCACCACACACTGTAGGCACTGCCAAGTCTTGATAGCAGCACACATGGTAAATGGGACAGACACTTGCATATTGCCTGCTCCAAAGATCTTTGTGGGAGCATTAAATGGATTTAACTTTCAACCGCACTCCTCAACAATAACTTTTCCCCCTTCTGGTGCTTGGAGGTTCTTTCTTGTCCAAATTCATTATAAGCCATAGTCCTATTAATCTTAAGGATATAAACTCAGCTACTTGAGAGGCTGAGGTAGAAGTATTACAAGTTCAAGGTCAACCTCAGCAAATTAGAGAGACCCTGTCTCAAATAAAAAATTAAGAGGACTGGGTTCAATTGCCAGTGTCTATCTATTGCTCTCTCTCTCTCTCTCTCTCTCTCTCTCTCTCTCTCTCTCTC